ACCACAATATGATTGACTTTTGTCTCAACATACGCCCACACAAAAATTATCACAATGATGTAATCCCCAATTATAACTTCAAAAAAGGCAACTATGATCTTGTAGACAATGATCTCTCATCCCTTGATTGGCAATCTCTATTCACTGGATGCAATACTGTTGAAGACCATTACAACATATTTTTACTTGAAGTCAAAAGAATCATCAAACTATATGTACCAACAACAACTCCCAAAACAAAACAAAAACCAGATTACCCATGACAATAAGGAAACTTCAATCCAAAAATAGATCACTCTGGAGGAACAACAAATCTGGTCACGTTGCCAATTTCAAAAGCTGATACAAAAATTTATGCCACCAGATAAAGACTGAATGCACCAATTATCACATTAAACAAGAGGAAAACCTTCTATGCACCAATTCCACCCGTGCTTTTTACAATTTTGTAAACAACAAACTAAAAGACTCAAGGTCCATCCCACCCCTGATAGGACCTAATGGTAACGACTGCAACGATGACACCATTAAAGCTAACATCTTTAACACATTCTTCGGCTCAGTATTTGTAAACAGCAATGGATCATGCCCAGTATTTCCTAGCCGAACCAAAGAAAACTACAATGATCTAATACATATTGATTTTACAGAAGACAATGTTGAAAAAGCACTACACAATCTAAAACCATCTCTATCTATTGGACCGGATGGAATATGTGCCTACTTCTTAAAAAAGCTATCCACTGCCATAGCCGAACCTCTAAGCATAATCTTTGAAAAATATTTCAGGACCAGCTCCTTGCCTAACCTATGGTCACAAGCCACAGTCATCCCCATCTTCAAAAAGGGAGACCCCAGCCTAGTTGAAAATTACAGACCAATCTCCTTATGCTGCGTCACCTGTAAAGTCATGGAATCAATTATTAACCAATCCATTATCCTCCACTTAGAGACAAACAACCTACTCTCCAATAAACAATTTGGTTTCAGAAAAAAAACTATCCTGTGATCTGCAACTCTTACACTGCAAAAACATATGGACTACCCAACTCGATCAGGGCAAAGCAATAGACACAATCTACATAGACTTCTGTAATGCCTTTGATTCAGTGGTACACGACAAACTACTCCTAAAACTAAAATCTTATGGTATCTCTGGACACCTGCATAACTGGATAGAAGCATTCCTGTCAAACAGACAACAAATGGTCAAAATTGGGAGTGTCCTATCAAATTTTGTACCTGTCAATAGTGGTGTCCCCCAAGGCAGTGTTCTAGGACCAACTTTCTTCATACTCTACATAAATGACCTCTGTCATCATATTAAGAGCAACTGCGTTCTTTTCACTGATGATGTAAAGCTGTTCAATACCACAGACAACACTGCTACCCTTCAAAAAGACCTTGACTATGTATCAGAATGGTCAAACAAATGGCAACTTCAAATCTCTACAAATAAATGCTCTGTCTTACATATTGGCAAAAAAAAATCAGAAAATAAAATACAAGCTGAATAGTCAAGATCTTGTTGATGATCCAAGCTCTGTAAAGGACCTTGGAATACTCATCTCTAATTATCTAAGTGCTAGAGCCCACTACATAGCCAAAAAGGCATTAAGAGTTGTTAACCTAATCCTACGTAGCTTTTTCTCTGGTAATATCACACTACTAACTATAGCATACAAAACATTTGCTAGACCAATACTCAAATACAGCTCATCAGTCTGGAACCCACATTACGTATCTGATATTAGCACAGTTGAGAAAGTCCAGAAATATTTCACAAGAAGAGTTCTCCACTCCTCTACTCATTGTAGAATACCTTATGCCACCAGACTTGAAATTCTAGACCTAGAAAACCTTGAATTACGCCATCTTTGGTCTGATCTAAGTATGGTATATAAAATCATACATTGCAATGTCCTACCTGTCAATGAATACTTCAGCTTCAACTATAACAACACAAGAGCACACAATAGATACAAACTCAAGGTTAACCGCACCAAACTTGATTGCAGGAAATACGACTTCAGCGACAGAGTGGTCAATGTCTAGAATACTCTGCCTGACTCTGTAGTTTCTTCCCCAAACCCCAAAAAACTTTAACCTTAGACTGTCTACTGTTGACCTCACCCCTTTCCTAAGAGGTCTGTAGGGGGTGTGCATAAGCGCACCAATGTGCCTACCGTCCCTGTCCTATTGTTTCTTTAATTTACTTATATGTACCCATTTCATGTATTCATAACTATGTATATACTTATACCTATTATCTTGTAAGCAATTGACAAATCAAATAAATAAATAAACAAACAAACAAACAAACAAACAAACAAACAAATATCTTAAAATTGCTGAAGTTGAAGTTTCAAATTCAATTCTTTTTTGACTGCAGCAAAGACAGCTGAAGAGATTGCTGTTTAGCTTCCACTTGGTCATATCTAATGAAGGGAAGTCCAGAAATGTTTTGGGTAATTGTTTCCTCTATTAAATTAGAAGTGTTTTCAGTCAGAATTATCCTTTTACCTATTGAATCAGTTTTATGTGAGCCTGCTTAGTTTACCTTAGATTCAATAGGTGCTCTATTATCAGGTATTATGATTCATCATACAAATACAATGTCTATCCTAATATTTTGCTGATCTGTCAAGGAGCATAGGAAATATGGAATAATTTTCTTAGTGTTTTTGGTATAGCAATTTTGTAGAAGAGAAGACAACCAAAGGGGTTGTTTCATTGATCGTATGTGCCTATCTATGGTCCGAATGTGATCCAATAAAAATCACTGTATCTCTATGTATGCTGAAACTGGGCAATACATTTCAATATGATATCCCAAAGGATTAGTGTTATTACAGTCAATACAAAGAATTGACTGTTGACATTTTAGGATGAAAGGTTGCCCTCCCCAATGCATGAGAAATGTGATCATTAGGTCTTTGAAGCTGTCTCTTTTGCTTTTTAGTTACAGGTAGCTATTGCTATAGAATGATTCTAGCATTTTTTGCACTTTGCAATTTGTATGTGATGGTATATTACATAGTATCCACTGTGTAGGTTCCCTATGCGCTCATTGCTGCAGCAAACTCTTCCTATTATGTTATAAATTGGAGGGAAAATTTGAGAGAAGCCTGTAGGAGTTACTTGCCTAAACCCTTTAAGGTGTTTTGAAAATACCATCCACAAATGTTAAGTAGTCCCCATATATTCCAACTTCAAAACAGTGTGATAGCAACCCCAAACTGCTCACTGAAGGGAGAAGGATGTCTGATACTGATAATAGACTACTTAGAGGAAAGGGCTCCTGCCACCCAGAATATGATAATGCCTGCATTCACAAGAACGAGTGATGAGCCTCTAGCATTTACCAGCTGTAATGCTGAACAGATTACACAGACAAATCAGGGGTAAAAAAGTAATAGGCTTTCACCTCACAGCAAGAAACACCTAGGTTCAGGAAGAGGAAATGTGTATTAAGAGAGCAGGTTAAAAACTGACATTATCCCTGACTTTCATTAAATCTAAATTATAAGCAGGGTGCTAAGTTATTATAATGTATTTATTTATTGCCACGATTGCTTTCATATTTAACTGATTTGGCCCATCTTGAGACTCGTTTTAAAATGCACCACCTTGTCCATCTTTTCCATTTTCATATGAAAAACAGGAAAGCAAAAACTAATTTACGCAGAGAAACACATCGACTGTTTGCCCGTTTATCTCTTACAGACCACCCCTCAGTCCAATGTTGACAGTACATGATATTCCATTAATCTGCCTAATGAAAATTTAACCAGTGTTATAAACAAATAATTGGCTATTATCCTCTCAAAGATCCTGAATAAATTACTTCTACTTATCCCTCCTCCTTCCCTCTACTCAAAAGCCAGCTTTTTCTTTACTGGTGATATAAAAACTGCTGTCCTCTTCCTCCTGCTGCAGCTGTTATCAGGGAAAAGAGCTGAAATAGGAGGCAGGCTTTCGTGAGGAGTAGAAAAAATCCCCATTCCTTCTTTTTTTTAATTCAAGTTTTTATTTTATAGCATATAAAAATTCCAATTTCTTTTTTTTTAAAGTTTTATTGTTTTTTTAAGACAAACATAAACAAACACAACATAAAAACATCAAACAATCTTCCATTTATGTACATACAGTGTGTCGGTTGGTTTACAAATTGTTTTGTGCTTCCACTTCGTAGTCTTCAGTTAGAATTACATTGTGTATGTTCTCATATTGTCAATCAAATATTCCTAAATACATTAATATCATTGTTAATCAATCATTTGACTATACTATTATTCATTCATGTTTTATGAAATAATCCATATTTTACTTAATTTATTTTATAACAGTTCATATTTCCACTTCAAATCTATCCTATAATCATTTTGTAGATATAATAAAAAATACATGTTTATATACTCATTATGTTCTAAAAATCTACACATTTCATTACCATTTTTTATTGTCTAACCATTGATAGAATAGATACCAAATTTTATAAAATTGTTTATCTTCTTGTTCTCTAATTTCAAATGTCAATCTACTCATTTCAGCACATTCCATTATTTTCAAAAATTCCAATTTCAATTGAACAGTGTGTTGCCTAGGTACAAATATTTTTAGGAAATAATAATCAAAATGTTTACAACAATATTCATTACACTGATATTAATTATAGTAGTGTCAATAATAATAACAACAATATTATTTACTTAACCAATTCAACATACCTTCCTTATATCACTGATCCTTTCCATATATTTCCCTGTATCTAGGTCCTGTTTTTTTCAGCAAGCCATTGATAAAATAAGTCCCAAGTCAGAAAGTATTCAGTTTCATTCTTTTCCTTGATTATAAGTGGTACTCTATCCATTTCTGCACATTCTAATATTTTTTTAATCACATTTTCATCCGTTGGGATCTCTTCACTTTCCATTATTCCACAAATACAATTCTGGGTGCAGTCAATACATGTAAAATCAAATATGCATTCCCTTTATTATATTTATCCAGTAAAATGCCCAACAAACATATCTCTCGTTTCAAGTCAATATGCCGTTTTATCATTTTTTCCAGCCATGTAAGGATTTTTGTCCAATGTTTTTTTGCTTTTTGACATGTCAAGCATATACGATAATATGAACCAGAGTCTTGTGGTATTTCCAACATTTTGCAGACTTATCCTTAAACAACTTTGCTAATCTTGATGGCAGAAAATGCCATCTATAAAACATTTTATAAAGATTTTCTTTGTATGCAGTAGACATTATTAATTTACAGTTTCTATTCCATAGTTTCTGCCATTTATCTAACTCAATCGAATAACCCACATTTTTAGTCCATACTATCATTGTCTCTTCTACTTATCTTCCATCTTAATTCTTAATAAATAACTATACATTTTCTTTATTGGTTTTTTTATCTGTCCCTATTAACAACTGATGTATTTCTGTCAATTCTTTATGGAAACCATACGTTTTGGCATCCTTCTCATATCTAGATTGTATCTGCAGATATGACCACCATGTTATCTCACTCCCTTGATCACTCAGTTCCTGTTTGGTTTTAAGTTCCTCTTTTTCATTTAAAATATCTTGATATCTGGTAATATTCTCCATGTCAATAACATTTGGGTAAATCAATGCCTCCATTATGGACAGCCAAATTGGTATTTTCAAATAATGTTGCTCTTTAATTTTCTCCCATACTGATAATGGTGCATTCCTAATATAATGTCTTTGGAAATAACTATGTATTTTATTTTTTACATGCCATAAAAAAGCATGCCAACCCAGTTGGAGATCATGTCCCTCCAAGGTCAATAGTATTTTATTCCTTAAGCTTATCCATTCTTTCACTCAAGTCAGTATCGAAGCCTGGTTAGTACAATTCCCAATCTGGTAGCCTAAGACCCCCTCTATTTTTAGAATCTTGAAATATTTTCAATATTCAAACTTATCCTTACTTTTTTTCCCTTGACAAATAAATTTTAATATTGTTTTATTTAATTCTTCAAAGTACTTTTTCCAGTTTTATTGGTATTGTTTGGAATTAATATCATAATCTCAGAAAGATATTAATTTTTATAGTGGTTATTCTTCCCATCAATGACAATTGCAAATTTTTCCACTTCTCCAAATCCATTTTAATTTGTTGTGCCAATTTATAATAATTATCTTCTTTAATCGTTACACGCCTTGCCATTAATTGAATTTCTAAATATTTAACTTTCTTAACTAGTTAGTTCTTTTTTGTGTGTGTATCTGTAATATTTTTAGCTAATATTTAGTTTTATCTTTATTTATTTTAAATCCTGCAACTTCCCAATATTCTTCTATTTTTTAAAATTAATTTAAGTCAAGTTTCTTAGGGATTCTCCAAAATAAAAACCAAATCATCTGCAAATGCCTACTCTTCCTTTCTTATCTCCATACATTTAATTTTTTAATCTTGTCTAATATTTCTATTTAACACTTCCAATGTTAATATAAATAATAAAGGAGATATTGGACATCCTTGTCTTGTGCTTTTTTATATTAAAATTCTCTGTCGTATCTCCATTTACCATCACCTTAGACCTTTGCTTGTGATAAATGTTAATAAATGTTAATAAATCTCTCCCCAAAGTCCATAAATATTAGTTGTAGCAACATAAATTACCAGTTTACATTATCAAATGCTTTCTGCACATCCAGAAAAATCAATGCCAGTTGTTTTCCAGGATGTGCTTCATAATATTCCAATGTGTTTAAGATCATTCTCATATTGTTTTTAATCTGTCTCTTAGTCAGGAAACTATTTTGATCTGAATGTATACATTCATTCAAAAACCTTTTCAGCCTCTCTGCTATTATTGAAGCATATATATCTATAATCAGCATTCAGTAAAGATATGGGTCTATATTTTTTTATCTGCATTAAGTCTGAATCTTCTTTTGGAATAAGAGTAATGTTTGCTTCCATCCACAAGTTTGGTACCTTTGCTTCAAACAGTACTTATATACTTCCAACATTGATAGGCCCAGAATATCTTGTAAATGTTTATAAAATTCTGCAGGCAGCCCATCTGGTCCTGGTGTTTTATTATTCTTTTGCCTCTTAATCACTTTTGACAGTTCCATCATTGATATTTATTCATTTAACATAACTTTCACAGTTTCTGGTACTTTAGGTAGATCTGCTTTTTCCAAATATTGTTTAATTCTCTCTTCTGAAACTTTCTCCCGATCATACAGCTTTTCATAATAATCTTGAATATTTTTGTTCTCATTTTGATGATATAAAGTTCCTTTCTCATCTACTAATCTATGTATCCATTTCTTTTCTTTCTCTGTTTTCAATTTATATACCAGCCATCTTCTAGATTTATTTGTATTTTCAAAAAAGTTGTTTTGCATCTTTTTTGCCAATTCTTCTTTATGTAGCAGTTTCAATTTGTGTTTTATTAATTCCATTTGATTTTTTAAAGTCTTTTTTGTGTGGTTGTTTCTGTAATGCTAATTCCAATCTTTTGTTTTCTTCTTCTAACATCTTTTGGTTTCATTTCATTTTATTACCCCTTCCTCAATATGTTATAGCTAATTCCAAAATATATGCCTTAGCAGTATCCTATACATTTTGTAATGAAGTTTCTTCTTTCCTGTTCTCTTAATTAAAAAAGAGTCCATTTCTCTTCACATAGTTTGTATAAATTCCTTATCTTTTAATATTGATTGATTCAATACCCATCTCAATTTTTTCTTTTGTCCTTTCCACTTAACTCTCACTGGGTTGTGATCTGGCCAGATGCTTGCCTTTATTTCTATATTTTGAGCATTTGACTAACTCTGGTGACATCCATAAAATATCTATTCTTGACCAGGACATATGTCTATTTGAGTAAAATGTGTAGTGTTTCTCTTAGGATTTATCTCACTTCATACATCTTGAGTACCTATTTCTTCCACCACTTTAAAGAAAGTCTTTGGAAGTGTTTTTCTAGATTTTTTGTTTACTTTACTGCTTTTGTAATCAAGTTCTGCATTTACAATTGCATTAAAGTCTCCTACCACACAAATATTTTCATATTCCAATTCTGTAATTTTATTGTATAATTTTTCATAAAGATTTTCTTGTTTATTATTTGGTGTATATATTGATACCAAAAGTATCTGTGTATAGTTCATTGTTACCTCCACCGTTGTTCTGCTCTTTCCTTTAATTCTGTTCTCCCCTCTTCATCTGCAAAGATTTATCTGGCATTTATTGTTTCTTTAATATATAAGATCACAGTTCTTTTCTTTTGCTAGCTAGTGAAGAGTATAATTTACCAAGTGTGATTATGAACAGGGAACTTTTTTCCATTTGTGGTGGATCTGACCTAAATAAATATTGGCTCAAAATCAAGAATTAGGTAGAATAAATTACAAAACAAAAAATGGAATTGAAACCAGATATATTTCTATTGGGTATTTTAAGATATAACATTAGCAAAAATTCCAATATATCATACTCCATATAATAATTGTGACAACAATTGCTTTTGTCCAGAACTGGAAATGTGATAATAATCCTTCCAACACCATAATAATAAAAGAAAAGGTTTTAGAGTGTGCAGAGATGGATAGGTTATCGATGGAATTGAAAGAGAGAGAGGAAACAGAGTACCATGAAATCTGGAACCTATGGTATAACTGATTAGAAGGTAGACGGGAAGTAGATAGATGAAAGAAAGGTAGGAGTTATGGTAAGATATAACTTTGTAAATAATTATGTGAATGTATATATAAATATATTTAATTGAATGTAGGAATAACTGTAACAATACGTAGTAATAATCAACTTATTTAGAAATATGTCAATGTGAGTGAAAGCCATTATGAACATGCTATACTAAGTGGAAATGTATTTTTAATTGTAAAAATATGTTCAATAAAGATTATTTAAAAATAATAATAATAATTTCCCAATTTTAGCATATTCCAATAGTTTATTGTGTTGTTTTTTTAATGTGGACCTTTTTTAAGTTTATTTATTTTGACAAGAAACATTGACAAATACAAACATAAAACATCAAATAAAACCATCTTTCCATTGTACAATGTGTTGGTTGGTACATATCTTTTGTGCACGATATCAACAGTCTTTCCCTTCTAAATTTAAACTAAAATTCATATTATATGGATCAACTATGCATATTCTATTATATTATTGTTAACTCCTTATTAGACTATAATTATAAATTCACATCATCCTTTATGAGCAAATCTCAACTTTACAAAACCTAGTTCATAATATCATTCATTTCATTGTAATCAGTTATAACATATAATTACATTGTCTTATCCTTATTATGTTGTATTTATATTATAGTATATTTTATTTCCCTATTTTCTTATCTAGCCATTGATAATATAAATCCCAAATTTTATAATATTCTTTATCTTCTTGCTCTCTAATTGCTAATGTCAATTTACTCATTTCTGCACATTCCATTATTTTCTTAATCACCTTGTCTTCTATCAGAATTTTTTCACTTTTCCAATTTTTGGCAGCTACAATTCTAGCTGCTGTTAAAACATTTATAATCAAATATGTCAATTCTCTATTGTATCCTTCAGATAAGATACCCAATTAAAAAAATATCTGGTTTCAAATCTATATGCTGTTTTGTCATTTTTTCTAGCCATGTATGAATTTTATTCCAGTATCTCTTGGCTTCCACACACGTCCACCACATGTGATAGTATGATCCAGGTATCTGATGACACTTCCAACTTTTCTCCAATTTGTTCTTTAACAACCTTGTTATTTTTGCCAGGGGTAGATGCCACCTGTAAAACATCTTATACAAATTCTCTTTATATGCTGTTGACATTGTTATTTTATAGTTTTGAGACCATAATTTCTACCATCTTTCTAAATCTCTTCCACATCCAAATTTTTTTCCCAAGCAATCATTGTTTCTTTTACTTGTTCTTTTTCTAATTTTACTCCATATCCATATAATTTTTTTAATCACCTTCTCATCAGTACCTGTCAAAATTCCATCTAATTCAGTAAGTTCATGATAAAATCTTTCTGTCTTACGATCTTTATCATATCTAGAATGTATTTGCACACATGAATACCAATTCATCTCTATTTCTGGTTCCTCTCGTTCTTGCGTAGATTTGAGCTCACCCTCTTCATTTAATATTTCACCATATCTTACTGTATGTTCCATTTTATAAAAAACTGGATATGCAAATGCCTCTATAGTTGACAACCAGACTGATATTTTCATGTAATGTTGTTTTCTTATTTTCTCCCATATTAATAATAAAGCATCATGAATATAGTGTTTCTAAAATACCTGTGTGATTTACTTCCCTTATACCATAAAAAAGTGTGCCATCCCAATAATAGGTCATGATCTTTTAATGTTAACAATCTAATACTCCTTAAGACTATCCATTCTTTCACCCACATCAGTGTTGCTGCCTGGTAATATAATTCCCAATTGGGTAAACCAAAACCTCCTCTTCTTCTGGCATCTTGTAACAATTTTAATTTGATTCTTGCCTTCTTTCCCTGCCATATATACTTCAGTATTATTTTATTTAAATCCTCAAAATATTCTTTCCCTGATTTAATTGGAATTGTCTGAAACAAATATAAAATCTTTGGTAATATATTCATCTTAATTGTAGATATTCTCCCTATTAGAGATAAATGTAAATTTTCCCATTTTTTCAAGTCTGTCTCAATCTGTTGTTTGAGTTTATAATAATTATTTTTTTTGAATGTTCCACATCTTGCTGTTAATTGTATTCCTAGATATTTAACTTTATTTGTGATCTGAATATTCAATCTCACTATTAATTCTTTCTTTTGTTTTTCCACCATATTGTTAACCAAAATCTTAGTTTTGTCTTTATTTATTTTCAAACCTGCCACCTGTCCATATTCTTCAATCTTTTCTATCAATTTAGGTGTGTTTTTAATGGTTCCTCTAATATAAAAACTAGATCATCTGCAAATGTTTGTAACTTGTATTCCTCTTTTTTATTTTCATTCCCTTTATTTCACTATCATCTCTAATATTTCTATTTAATACCCCCAGAATCAAAACAAACAACAGAGGTGACAGCGGACATCCTTCCCTAGTTCCTTTTTTAATATTAATATTACCTGTTAAATCTCCATTTATCATTACTTTGGCAGATTGCTTATAGTATATTGTCTCTATAGCTTTAGTAAATGTTTCACCAAAACCCATTTGTTCCATGTGTAATATAAACTGCCAATTTACATTATCAAAGGCTTTTTGTGCATCAAAAAATACCAAGGCCATTTGCTTCTCAAGATGTGTTTCATAATATTCTAAAGTATTCAAAATTATTCTCATATTGTCTTTGATTTGCCTCTTTGGCAGAAATCCATTTTGATCAGCATGTATAAAATTGTTCAAATATGTCTTAACTCTTTCTGCCATTACTGAGGCGACAATTTTATATTCTGAGTTCAGCAGGAAAATAGGTTTAATCTTTCATTTATTGTAGGTCAGTGTGGTCTTTTGGTATGAGAGTAATATAAGTCTCTGTCCATGAGTTGGGTATTTTAGTTTTTGACAAAACTTTATTCCTCACCTCAAGCATTAGGACACTTAAAGATTCCTGTAGAGTCTAGAATTCTGCTGGCAGCCCGTCCGGGCCCGGACCCTTTCCAGTATTTTGTCTCTTTAATGCCTCAGTTAGTTCCATCATTGTTATTTTCCCTTTTAACATTATTTTAATGTCCTCAGGTACTTGGGGTAGCTCTGCTCTTTGTAAATATTGTTTAACTTTTTCTTCATCAGTATTCTCTTGATTATATAATTTTTCATAATATTTTTGTACTATCTTTTTCTTTTCATAATTTCCATTACAAATCTTTCCTTGATCATCTATTAATTGCATTATCTTTTTCATTTCTCTCTCTTTTTTCAATTTATACACCAAGCATCTGCCCAGTTTATTTGCATTTTCAAAGAAATTCTGTTTTGCACTTTAATTTTTTGAACTAACTCTTCTTTTTCCATCAACCCCATTTTGTGTTTAACTGTGTCCATTTGATTTTTGATATCCTTTTTTTGTGGATATCTTTGTAAGTCCTTCTCAAGTTTCTTGTAGTCTTCCTCTAACATTTGTTGCATTCATCTTGTTTAATATTTCTTTTTTCATATAATCTGTTATCAGTCCTCTGGCATAGGCCTTCATGGTATCCCATAAGTTTTGTAGTGAGGTGTCCTCCTTGTTATTTTCTTTGAAAAAAAAGCCAATTCTTTTTCCATCTTTTGCATAAATTGTTTTTCTTTCAATATTGTATGATTCAAAGTCCATCTAGAGCTTTTCCTTTGTCCTTGCCACTTAATCCATACTGGATTATGGTCCACCCAAGTACTTGTTTCAATACTAACTTCTTCTATATTAGAAATTAATTCCATTGACACCCAAATCATATCTATTCTTGACCATGATGAGTGTCTATTGGAATAAAAAAGTGTATTGTCTATTCTTTGCATTTCGTTCTCTCCAAACATCTTTAATGCTTAATTCCTCTACCATTTTGAAGCAGGATTTTGGAAGTATCTATCTATTTTGTTTGTTAGCTTTCTGTGTTGTATAGTCCAATTTTGTGTCTACTATCCCATTAAAATTAAGACATATACTGTATTATCATATTCCAGTTCTATGATTTTCTTATGCAGTTTTTTTTTTGTAAAATTCTTCTTGTTTTCCATTGGGGGACATATATTGCTACTAATAGTATCTTTATTATCTTATTAATTAAAAAGTCCAGTCCAGTTTAAAAAAATAAGTCCTTTTGTATATTGCATAATAAACCAAAAAAAAAGCCAAGTTAGTTTGACATCAGGCTCATTTTCGCCACTGTCCCTCTTCTGTCTTCAATATTTTTCCTTTTCCCCCTTCAGGTATTAAGTTAAATCTCACCCAAAGCCTTTCTTTCCTCTTCTTCTTCCATTCCAAAGTTGTCCCAACCTTTCAGCAGCTTCAATGGCTGCTTCCTCCGCAGCCAGAATGGAGAGCTTCTCCTAGATCAACCAGGGACTTTGCAGTGTCCCTGGGATCAGCAGGATGTGTTCTCCTCAACTACCATCTCTACAGAACAGTTCAGGTCCAAAAGGACCGTTCAGCTGCGGAGATATCGATGCTGGTCCCAGAGCTCTGAGATCATTTGTTGTACTGTTGCAACATCAGCCCTACCCTTTCCCTAATGTGGACCTCTTGAAGACAAATTAAATCTAGTTTTAGCTTTCCTAATTTGTTAAAAGTCCTTTTCCTTTTTATATGAGAATTCAGTCCATTTACGTTAATGGACAATAATTGTATTTCTTCTTCCATATTTTTACTTGTAGATAGGTCTTGTTGTTCTAGTCCCTCTTTTTTCTCTCTGATATTTTATCTTTGCACCTTCCTGTTCTGCTCTTTCCTTTAATTCTGTTTTGTCATCTTTTTGTTGTGCATTTCTTCCTTCTAATGCTTTCTCTTGTTTTTTATCATCTACTTCCTCTCTCTTTCGTTCTCCCTCATATGATCCAAATTGCTCAGCATAGAATTGCTCTGCTTTCTCTATAGTATCCAGTCTATGTCTTTGTTTCATCCAGGTCACCAGTATTCCCATGGGTTTCAGCCATCTGAAGCTTATTTCATGTTTAATTAACTGTCTTTTCAAAAATTGGTGCTGTTTTCTCATGTCTCTTACTTTTCTGAGGATCTGTTTCAAAACTACTATTTCTCTCCCTTTATATTTCAATGGGTCATCTCTTGCTCTTTAAAGTATTTCTGTTCTTATTGCCTTCTTAGTAAGTCTCACATGTACCTCTCCGGGAAGTTTATTTCTTGATGCATATCTTGTAAATACTCTAAATATTTCATCCATCCCAGAGAACATCTCCTGCTTGTCTACCTCCAGAGCCTCCACCAATAATTCTGCCATTATCTCTGCAAAGATAGTTTTTTCCTTTCTCTTCTCCAATATTCTGGAACCTCAAGAAGTATTCAGCTTTACCCATTTCAACCATAATTACTGTTCTCTCCAGATTTTGATCTGCTTGCATAAGTCTATTATCCATCTCTTCCACTCTTTCCTCTGTTTGTTCTGAATTTTATTTTCTGGATCCGTTGTTCATTTTTAGTTATTATTTGTTGAATATTCTCCATTTTATCATCCATCTTTTCCATTCTTTCCTTCATATCTTCAATTTTTTTGTTGTAGCTTCTTGAAATGTTTGAAGCATTAATTTCAATTCTGCTTGCATTGTGTTCATTGTTTCCTGCTGTAAATATTCTGTCCAAAGATATTTGACTTGCTGGACTGGATGCTGCTGCTGCTGCTACTGATGACACAGATGCATTTCCCTCCCTAGTTTACTTAAATTTGAAATGCTAGTCATTTTGAATGTTCTTAAAATCTTCAAGATATTTAAAAAAATATTATCAGTGGTAGCTCAAGTATTATTCTAACATTTCCTCAAGTCCCCACCAATTTCTTTTTCTGAGTCTCCAAGTATTTCCACACTTTCTATTATTGTAATAAAAAAAAGATTTCTTGTTAGTCTTCAGGTTCTTTAAACACCAGTCTTTTCTTCTCTTGATAAATTTGTAATCCACTTAGGCCCACCAAGCCCCATAGTTCAACCACAGAGATTCGTAAGTCTCCAGCAGGGAAGATCAAAAAGGCAGGAGAAGAAAACGAAAGGAGAAATAAAACTTCCTTGCTATTTCCCCAGCTTCTGTTTACTTCACCCATTTAGTTTTCATATAAGTCCAAAGAGCTACACTGTTTAGAAAGTTAGTGTTTCACTCTCTGTCTCTGCTGTCCCATATAAACAGTTTGCTGGAGTAGGTGTTATTTGTAGCAAA